CAAAACCACCGCCAGGGTTTTTGGTGCCTGTGGGAGTTTTTTCGAATTAGGGCCCTTGGCCTGAGCCGACTTCGCCGCCTTCTTCTTTTTCTTCCGGCCCTTTTTCTCGACCAGAACCCACTCGCCCTGGGCGGGCTTAGCTGGCCTATCCTCCGCAGGAGGGGCTGGAGCAGTCTTCTTGGTCGGTGCCTTCCTCTTCTTCTTGGCTTCCTGCGCCTTTTTGGGCAGGTTAGCCGGCGGGGCAAGGGTGGTGGGTGCCCGCTGCTCAGGCTTCGTCTGGGGCGTTTTGGGCTGGCTCGGACCTTTGGAGGAGGAGGCCAGCGGCGGCCTATGACTGCGGCCATCGAGAAGCCGCCCATCCACCTCCAGCCCGTCTACACGGGGCGAGATCACGGCGCCTACGTGCTGAAGCAGACTGCGCTGTAGATCCCCCATAGCCTGAGCGAATTCCGCCCTGGAGATGCCATCCGGTTCCCTTCTCTCCGGACTCTCGCGTTCCGTATGCTCCACGTGCCCTCGTTCGGCAAGGAATTTCTTCACGTTCCGAAGCTCCTTCCTAAAGGCATCCACCTCTCCCTGGAGCCTTTTGTTGTCGGCCCTTAGTCTCCGGATCTCGTCCGAGGAGGTGCGCGTTGACATCTCCTTGACAATTGACAGGAGGCTATTCGTCCCCTCCGCAATGTCCCGGTGGCACGTTCCTTTAAGATTGCCGGATTTTTTCGCAACACTAAGGACGGTGGCCGCGCTTTTCTCCGCTTTTGCGTAGAGGGACTCCATAGAGCGCATGGACCTGTGGCTCCCCTTGCTGGAGGCCTTGGAAGACCGACTCCGCTGGGAGCCTCCACCCTCGGAAGCCTCGTCGGAGTCAGAATCCGACTGAGGTTCCTTCATCTCCTTGCGGGCCCAGGATGTGCCCACGTGATGTACTCCCCCTCCTCCCCGGGGGTTGTTTCTATATCTGGGCACCTTTAGGGCCCCAGATGCCACACACATTTCTGGCTCCGCCTCTGTGGATGCGGGCTCAGTATCCTCCCCATTATTTTGCCAAAGCTTCCCCTTGGTTCTCTCCTCGAGCGCTCTTCCTGAGCCGGGAATCCGACCGGTCCAAAATCGGGGACCTCTCCCTTTCTGTCGCAGCTTCCGAGAGGCTGGCGATCGAGCCACGATGAGTGCCGTCAGTGCCAATGGGTATCGGCAATAGGAAGCCGCCCGGACGAGGCGTTAGAGACCGCGGCGGGCGCCCCCTCGAGTTGCGAGAACTCCTTCTCGGCAATGAATTACTCTTCATCTGCGACGAGTCAGAGGGGTCATCTCCCCCACCTCCCCTCAGTCGCATCACTCCCGTGTGGCCCCGAGAAGGGCCGTTTTGGGGGCCCTGAGAAGGGCCGTTTTGGGGGCCCTGAGAAGGGCCGTTACGACAAAAGGTGGCTCCCCCGCATACGCGAGCCAGCCCGTTGTCCCTAGGAACAACGGGGAGGGATTCCCCAGCTGGGCTGGGACCCTCTCGGGGACTATCTGTATTATTCCAATTGTCCATTTTGCTTGTACCTATTTTGCGGGAATAGGCTCCCTTACTCCCACACGTTAACGCCTCGGTAGCAAATTTACCACCGTGTGACCCGGTAATCACACGGCGCCGGTGGCCAACCGGAGCGCATAGGCCGCTTGTGGTCCATTTCACACTCTGGGGCCAAGCTACCCCAAAGCGCCCGTGGTCAGCGGGATCGTATGACAAACGCAATCTCAAAAACGACATATTCATTAAGTTTTTCCCCCTTCCGGGCGGGGGGACCCTACCTGGCCTCGTCCGGTGTGATTTTTTAAAGAGGTTTTCTCCCTCTTGGCCTCCACCCTAGGGTGGCGGCCCCCGTTCCCGCACCACGTGCGGGTTTACGGGTCGGCCGGAGGTGGCGCGGAGTTCGCGCCACAACCGCCCTCACCAACTAATCTCGACTGCCGCTACCCAGGATGCCCAGGACGCCAAATCCCACCAACCACCCATGGCCTGGCGAACCTTTTTGGTTATGCAGGCCGAAGCAGCGGGAGATACGCGCGGAATGGCCTCCACCGCGCGTACTTTCTTGACTCCCTACAAATTGTTCTTTATCTGTCTCCTTTGTCCCTATGGTCCCTCTCCCCTTTCTGGGGCGGACGCACACGAAACGCCTTCGTCGCAAATTCCAGCCGTCCCGTGCCCACTATGAAGTGGTACCGCTAGCCTCCAGTATTGCTCCCTGTCTTCTTTCTTCGCCTCCCTCGAGTCCACTCCGAATCCTGTGCCATCTACGCGCGAAGTCCCGTAGCTGCCTGAAGTTCGCCTCCGATCCCACAAGGTCGCGATAGTAGACCGACTCAACCTCGAGCACCTTCACACTATCAAGAAGTTCCCTACGCGCCTCCCGGTAGAGCTCACACTCCCACAGAGCGTGGTATGCGTCCTCTACTACTCCCTCCCCACAGTAGCACGACCCCACCTCCGCGAGCTTCATTCTGTGAAGCCTACCCCTGAAACAGCCGTGTCCCGTCAGCAGCTGCGAGATTTCATAGTCAGGCTCGACCCAAGTAAACTTGAGTCGGGCCTCCACTTCCGGGAAAAACCGATATAGCTCCCTCCCCTGTTCCGACGTGTCCTAACGTCTCTGCCATTCGGCATTGACGGACTCAGTAACCCTGAGTTTGGCGCTCCGAAGCTCTTCAATGGTAACCGCGGACTCGCGTGCATCACCTAGTCTGCCTGCCCGAGTTACCTCGAGGTCGGCCGGTAAGACGCCAGCCAAGACCGCCAAAGCGACAGAGCTCGTCGACCGGTACGCCTTGGTCAGAAGGATCAAGGCGGGTCTCTGGGTGCGCAAAAGCGCACTACGCACAACGTGAAGGGACGCACGCTCATACCAACATGCCGCAGCATACGTCACCGTGGCGATGTAAGTGCCTCGGTACAAAACCTTTAAGGCCTTGTACCGAACTCCCCAAGAGGCCGCCGATACTCTCGACATCTTGCCGAAGCAATTTGCCGCCCTCTCCCCTATCGACGCCGCATGCTGCGCGAACGAGAGACTCGAGTCGACCGCCACACCCAGCACAGTGGTCGACGCCACGCTCCTGACAGACGTCCCCCCGAAGCGGATGGTGGGTGGCCGCTGGAATTTTCCCCTGATCGTCATAGTTACAGACTTTGCAGGAGAGAAGTCCAGCCTATTACGGGCCCGCCACTCACCGACGAGCTGCAAAACCGTAGAGGCCGTGGCCTCTATGCTCGCCCGGGATCCGGATTCTATCAGGATCGTGACGTCGTCGGCGTACGCCACCATGCTTACCCCCCCCCGGGTAATGGCAGCCGAAGCAAGTCGTCCATGAGCACGTTCCAGAGCGTAGATCCCAACACCAATCCCTGCGGGCAACCCATCGTCGCCGCCTTCCACACTACCCGATCACCCACGAACAAGCCCACGCGGCGATTGGCGAAGTAGTCCGTCAACATCCTAAAGATGTTAGGCGGACATCCCCCGCGTTTCACCTTGAGCAAGATCATGGGCCACCAAGCATTATCAAAGGCCCCAGAGATATCCAAAAATACCGCTTGAACATACTTCAACGAGCTCTCTCTAGTCACCCTAAAGATTTCCTTCAGGGCGGTTATCGTCGACCGACCCCGAGTGAACCCGTGCTGGCAGTCCGATAACCCCCTGGTAATTTGCGGTGCACACCTTAGCATTACGCGTTCCAAAATCTTACCAAAGATCGGCAACAAAGTGACGGGGCGATACGCTTTCGGGTCGAAAAGCTGCCTGTCGTTTCCTTTCGGGAGGACAATCAGCCTGCCGTCCTTCCACGTATCAGGAAATCGTCCCTCCTGGACACATCGCCTAAGCATTTCAGTAAATTCCACCGGCGCGGCTGCCCAAACGTGTTTGATAATGCGAGCGGAGACCCCATCGATACCCGGTGCAGTGTTCGGCAAGTCGGCGAGATACTCCAGGGTGATTTTTTAGAGAGGTTTTCTTCCTCGCAGCCCCCACCCCCCGAAAAGGGTGGCGGCCCTCGGCCCCGCACTATAGTACGAGGTTACGAGTTCGGAGCACAAGTGCCCCCCTCCGGGTTATTTTTTATAGAGGTTTTCTTCCTCATGGCCACTGCCCTCCGAAGAGAGTGGCAGCCCTCGGCCCCGCATAAGTGCGGGGTTGCGAGCTCTCCCCCAGCTCGGCTGCCGCTACCCGGGATACCCAGGACGCCAGCCGAGATCCCCACCGGGTAATTTTTTAGAGAGGTTTTCTTCCTCGCAGCCCCCACCCCCCGAGAGAGATGGCGGCCCTCGGCCCCGCACTATGTGCAAGGTTACGAGTTGGTGTGGTAGGTTACCCTCTTCTTGACTAGAAGAAGAAGGACCTCCCACTGGGTAATTTTTTAGAGAGGTTTTCTTCCTCGCGGCCCCCACCCTCCGAAGAGACTAGCGGCCCTCGGCCCCGCACCACGTACGGGGTTACGAGATTGTCGGCTATTAGACACCTCCGTAACAGCACCCTCAGTGGGAGACATTACGCAGGCGCCCGGGATGCACCGTCCCGGACCCATTTCCGTTCCCCTATCATAACTGACCAGGGACAGGAAATGGACCGGGCACACGAGGAGGTTTCCGACGTAGCACCCCAAGCTGAGCCCACCTACCAAACGTTTAATACTTTACTATTCAGCTATATTACCTATCTTGTATCAAATACTCTACTTCCGTTTCATCGAATCTGAAATCACAACGTTGTTAAAGAAGTTTTCACTTCAATAGATAAAAAGGAAATTCCAATGTAGATCCCTGCCTCAGCCTAAGCTGCTACGACACAAAGCCGCAGCAGCGCTGATATTCTGTCAACGCCCCCTCTTAATTTTTTTACTAATTAATAAGAAAAAATATAACAAACGAGGAAAACAAAAATAATTCTATGAGTGAAACTCTTTAAATGCTCTGTGATTTATGCTTTCTGCGTTAATATTCTCTTTGGATCGAAATGAAATTTCTCTCTGTATGCCAAAACATACATTTCAGTATAATTTTATTTTTGTTACTTGTATTAAAAAAATGTGACTCACAAGTTTTCGAGCAGCCGATAAAAGTAGATGAGAACCATCTAGTTCCTCGGGTAGTGAGTGGGTGTCCTGCTAAGCTTGGTGATGTCCCGTATCAAGTAAGCTTCGATTTGGATAATCAACCGACTGTTGTATGTTATGTTAAAGTAAAACTCAAGCTAATACGTATCCTGTGAATTTGGTTACTTGCTTATTACTGTAAATGAAAGAAAACATTTCCTGCATACAGTAAAAGACCAAATAAGCAGTACCTTTTTATTTAAGAAAACGATAAAAGGGTAACTATTATTCAATGCCTAGTGCGGCTTTTAGGAGCTAGGAAGGTAGGAGTAAAGAGAATAATACTCAATAGAAATTTCTTGACCTATATAAACTATATCATCATATTGTCTTATTTATGATATCTTATTTATCATTTAATCTTTTTATATATTGTTTTAAAATTTCATGATCACTAACATAACAGTAATTATGTTATTTACGGGATTGCTATCATTTACTGCGAGTCCAAAAATATGTGAATACTTTCATACTTTTTCATATTAAAAATCAGTAGAATTTCAATTACTTTTAAGTAAACTGTCATAAGTTTACTGTGTCGAAGTCCGATGGACTTTACATATTCTTGAACTGGACTGTAACTTGTTTTTAGCGTGTTTCCGATATTTCGGCACTGTTGATCACGGAGTAACTGTTACTCCGTGATCATGGCACTAGGCATTGACGCAGTAATAGAGTAACAGAGTACTAATTCACGGACTAACTAGTTACATATACATTTTCACGGCGCTTGTAACAGTGCCGAAATATCGGAAACTCGCTAATAATAAGGTGCATGGTAGCAATCCCGTAAATGACTTAAACTGTTTGTCTTTTTTGTACGAAAGGTAGGCTTCAAGACGCTGCAATCGCGACCGCGTCATTTATATAGGACTTTCTGTGGAGGAGTTATTATTGCGCCGAATAAACTATTATCAGCTGCACATTGTTTTGAAATTAACAAGAGTGGACGTGAGAAGAAATCCATGTGAGAGCATATTTTATTCGGCCATCTAGGTAAACCATAGAATACGATGTTACCCATCACTTATCCGTTTACGACGACATAACTCGATGATTTTTACAAGTTTTATTGTCAACCTATTAGAGCCTGCGCTGCGTTAAGCCGGAGCAGGTTGAAAATCCTAGTTCGGTAGCAGATGCTAAAGATTGTCTTTTATATTTTTAAGCTCTTAAATGGTGTCAATAGTTTAAAAGACGTAATATTACTTATATGCTGGTCTAAAGAAAGATCATTATTATTATTAGTCAACTGATTAATTCGCAGTATCGTTCCTGATTACCAGTTGAGTCGGAAGTACGCGGTGGCCGGAAGCCTCGTAAATAAACAAGTATATCGTACGGATAACTCAGAAGACGGTCAGTGGCGTAAGCTGAAGGAGGCTGTATATCCCTCAGATTTCATGTTCCCCCAAAACGATATATGCATCGTGGTATGATTTAAATACATTTAAATAAAAAACAAACTGCTTCGAACATAAAAGTGCGTTCCGACTACGATATACTATTGCGCTATAGTTTCTTGCCGGTTCTTCTCAGGACAACCTTGGCCTCCCGCCCCGTAGATTTACGAAACCATGGCGTAGCTTCTAGACATTCATGAGTGCTTTTTACAAGCACTAAACTAAATGATTATGATTATTACTTAGAACTTTACTTATCGGTTGTGAAAGAGAACCTAACCTAAATATATAAAATGTGTATATGTTTCAGTTTACTATAGACCCCTTCACCTTCAACGACTATATCAGCTCTATCCCATATGCATCGAAGTATAAGGATTACAAAGGGGAATGTTTGACCTCAGGGTACGGAAAACTGAATAAACCGTTTTCAGAAAAAAAGGTACCTATGTAGCTGTACAAATTGTCCCGCCAAAAAGAAAACTTTTTTATCTGCACACCTAAACGTGCATACCCTTTCTTAAAAAAGCATTTTGTGTAACAGAATACCACAAAACATTTAAACGAATCTTCAATTTTCCTTGTATGAAATTGAAAAAAAAACCTGGTAAATGGAGATTTTTTTTTTTTTTTTTTTTATTTTATTATGGTACACCAACAAAATACATACATAACATAATTTTTACAACCTTATTATTGAAAATACTTTGTATGATTTTAATAAAAGGTATACACAGTAATTCCAATTAACTTTATAACAAATGCCATCTCTTGCATTACATCCTAAAAACTAAAAAACATAACCAGTGTGTCAGGCTAGCAAGCACGAGTCAACACTCACAAGTAATAACGTGTTAAACTTAATAGGATATATCGTGCAGCACCAGCGTCTTGCACTTGATCGGTGAATTGTAAGTGTCAACCCGTCACGACTCCGCCCACTGAGCCAAAATCCTTACTAAATTCTTTTTAAATGTGTGAAAGCTGTTGCAAAAAATGTCCAGATTATTGCCATAAACATTGATAATTTCGTTATATTTTATACATATGCGATTAGCTGGGGAACTCTTGCCAAGATTGGTTCGACATCGATGAATATAAAATAAATCCCTACAAACGTAACGGGAATTAGGTCGAGGGACTCTGAACGTAAAATTTTCTATCGAGGACTCTGACTCAACTACACCATTTAAAAGTTTATGTAAAAAGCATAAGTCGTGAAGTATGCGGCGATTCTTTAGTTTTAAAATATTGAAAAAACCTAGTCTCTCTTCATACGAGTGACGTGTAGTTCTATCCCTGCAAGTGAACGCTAAGCATCTGGTAAAGGAGCGATTAATTCGTTCAATTCTGTCAGCGTGGATATTATAGTATGGGTTCCATATGATACTTGCATATTCAATAATGCTTCTTACTAGGGCGTTGTAAATTACTACCCTGGACTCCACCTTGCGGAAATCTTTGGTGGTCCGTTAATTAAAACCTAACATACGATAAGCACGATTAACAATATTATCATAATGACACCTGAAAGTCAAACTGTCATCCAAATACACTCTTTCCCTTTCCTCTGTGACTTTTTTAATTACAGTACCGTCGATACTATAACTTGAATCAAAGCGAAGTCTTTTTTTCGTAAATGTGATATGGTAACATTTGGAAATATTTAAATGCATTTTATTTTTATAGCACCAGTCACGAATAGAGGCAAGATCGATCTGTAACAGCTGACAGTCATCGTCACCTCTAACGACCTTGTATACCTTCATGTCATCCGCGAACATTGAACACTGGCTATACTTAATACAACCCATAACATCATTGACGAAGAGAACAAACAAAATAGGTCCAAGATGGGATCCCTGAGGTACACCCGAAGTTGACTTGTATAACTGGGACTCATATCCTCCAGCAACCACACTTTGACAACGTTCAGAGAGATACGACCCAAACCATGATAAAAGAGGCTCAGCAATTCCATAAGTCTTTTCTAACTTGCAAAGTAGAATACGATGGTTAACCTTGTCGAAGGCGCTGCTAAAATCCGTATAGATTGAGTCTACCTGACCACCATGATCCAATACCATACTTAAAGTGTTCACATACGAAAATAAATTAGTTGATACAGATTTCTTTGCCTGGAATCCGTGTTGTCTATCATCAGTCAAATGTCTAGTATGCCCAACAATTAAAGGACCTATTAATGACTCGAAGACCTTTGAAATGGCTGACAGTATTGAGACAGGCCTATAGTTAGAAACGTCCTCTCGAGTCCCCTTTTTCAATATAGGAACAATACGTGCCTTTGTCCATTCCTTAGGAAATACACCATCACTTAATGATTTATTAAATATAAATGTAATAGGAAGTGCCAGCGATGAAGCACACATTCGCAAGAACAATGGTGGAATTTTGTCCGGGCCTGAACCCTTGTACACGTCTAAACTCATCAATTTACGTAATACCTGTCTCTCTGTAAACTTAATTGTATGCAAAGGTACATCGCTAAAAGTGTCATCAATACAGAAGCTTCCCATGTCAGCCTTATCTCCAAAAACCGAGCTAAACTTCTCAGCAAATAGGTTGACAACTTCGCTTCCGTTAGTGGCTTTAGTGTCATGAAGGAACATATTAGATGGCAAGTTCCCCGAGCCAGATTGCTTATTTTTAACAAATTTTATTTGTATCGACTTTACAATAATTAAAAGGATATTTTTATATTTTATTTTTATATTTTCTAATTAAAACAAAATTTCAAATACTTTTATCAGTACAAAAATTAATATCATATAAAGCCTTTTCTTATGAAACGCCTCGTTTCGTCGATGAGCTGAAATTGAACCATTAATTTTTGCTTTCATTATCGATGCTTCATCGATGCAAAACCGAAAATGAAATGTCCAAATTGTCATTCATCGGGATGTGCCTTCGCGATGAAAGCTTCCGGCTCCCCATTGTTTTCACTAGCATCGATCACACATCTGTGTCACTATTCATCGGCAATGAACGGCAAGTGAAACGTCTAAACAGCGACGCTCATTCACAGTTAATTTGTTTTACTGTCTCATTAAGGTACAAGTCTGAACCGCAGACCACAGGCCGCAGCTGCAGACTACAGGCGATACTAGTTTCTATGAACCCCTATGAAATTGATTCCGAGCGCGGCGACATGCCGCTGATGCCGCGGCTGCACAATGCATATCATGCACGGTCAGCTGCAGGCGCTAGTCGCAGTGTCGTCTGCGTTTGTCGCCTGCAGCCCATTACGGAATTGTACCTTTATTTATTCTATAATTAAATAACTCGACACATATTCACGCTGGAATTCCACAAGGAATGGAATATTAGCTTTCATCAAAAATGATGCGTCTATACAAACAATATATTTCACTGTCGTTGTTGTTGTTGTTGTTGTACATTGCAAAATTGAATCACGTTTGATGAACAATCTAATTTGGCCTTTAAATAATTCTTGTACTCTTTGAAATAGTCATCATTAGTCAGTAAAAATAAGTAAACATTTTGTCACAACGAACGTTGTAAATTATTTTGTATGTGAACTTCATAATTAATTAACAATTATGTAAATAAACGTCTTTTTAGTTAAAGTCTGACAAATTGATGTTGGCAAATTTGGCAATAATACCAGCATATTGGTGCAGCAAGAAACACCGCAAGAACATGAGACACTTTATATGCACATCAGACAAGGTGACCGACGTTGGTAAGGTTAGAAAACGTGTTTACTTTATTGACTAACCTTAAAGGCATTTTTCAGTACGAAAAATAAAGTACCAATGTGTATTGGGAGCGATTTCACTAATCTGGCAAATAAAGTTGTTGAAAATATTACTAAAAATCATATAATAAAAAAGTATTTTTGATCTACTGTCACGTAAAATGATATTACTTGCTTGTATACATGATATTAAATCGAAGTGACATTACTCTATACTGTTTGACGTTTTGATGAGAGCCGTGTGACGTCGCCTACCTGCCGCTATATTATATTATATTTATATATACTCTATATTTGCTAGAGAAACGTTTCGGCGGCATATTTGAAAACATCATATAGAGGTTCTCCCTCTCTATAAAATCTACCAACATCTCTCGCGTTTCGTTGCACAACTTCAAACTGCCACACACTCAAATCATTACCGCAACGCTTCTCAACAACCACCATGCGTTAAAGTCTACCATCAGAACCTTGTAGTGTGACACTGTAAATATAATGAGAAATTTGACTGAAGTCTGACACAGCAAAATCTGGACCGACCTCCCCACACCGGACATGACATATTTTTACCATAAGGAAATAACACAAACATGTACTAACATAGATTAAGGAAACAAGTAGACTTAAGTAAAACTGTACCTACATGTTATTTAGCAAAACATAGCAGTAAATGTTGTACCATAGAAACAAATAAATTTAAATAATTACCAAAAAGATAGCGAAACTCGGGCCCTTGCGTGCGATGAGAAGGAGAGGGAACTCACGCAGGAGCCCGAGACCGCAAAAACATAACACAAGGTACACAAATAGAATAAACTGAAAATCCTCTTGTTCCACAAAGCATGTACAATAGATAATAAGTGAAAAAAAAAAAAAGCGTATACATATAATAGAATATTCATTAAAAAGGGGATGGACAATATGTCCAAATTATATTAATTAAGTAGACATAAATGAGCATGCCGCATGTTTGCATGATTAAATATAAAAGGCCGCACTGAGTGCACAAACAAATGTATATAACAAAACTTAAAAAAAGTCAAACTAAATAATGGCATGGGCATACGCCTATGGAGTAATTGTATTCAAAAAAAAGAAAAAAAAACCTTGTAGTGTAATTGGTACCTATGGCTTTTGTGATCTCCTCATACATAGTTTCCACTTCGTGCTCTGGGTGCGTCGAGGTCGGAGCATAAACCTGTATCACATTTAACAATTTTGCTATCCTGGTCGACACACTTCCGGTGGTGATGACGTAATAAACACCCTTGTTTATAACGTCATCATCATCGGAAGTCCCTACTTGTGGATGATAAACCGCCTAGGGACTGTTGATCGCCCTCCTGATAGTGTAGCAAGTTACCGGAATTGAGGATTATCGAGCCCTCTCCTTCTCTTCGGACTTCAGATACACCAATAATATCCCAGCGTAACTTACTAAACGGATACGGTCGGATTAGTAGATAGACAGATTTTTGGGTGTTTATAGCTGCTTTGAACTAACGTGTCATTCAGGGCAGATTTTGTCACCTACTAATACATACCTAGTTTCAAGTAATTTTTACAATCCCAAATCTTTAACCACTTATGGTGACCACTCACCATCATGCCGCTTGATCAAGTGGCTTGATTAAATAGACTTGGTCAAGCCAAAATCCTTCCGTTAAGTGGCATGTCCTTCCAAAATGCCTCCACATACACGGTCAGTTTGGCTTGATGAAGCCTATTTGATCAAGTCACTTGATGAAATGGCAGCACACTGAGTTGGCCACCATTAGACATTGTGCTTATCTACTTTAGAGATTTCATCAATTTTCAGGGTGATTCTGGCGGTCCTTTAGTATGTGCCAAGACAGGAGATCCTAATGATAAAGGTGAAGGAATCGTCGTTGGTATCGTGAGTGGAAACAAATTGTACTCAGGTTCATTTTTCACCAGAGTATCATCTTTCTCTAATTACATAGACAGAAATAATGCCAACAATTTATTATTATCAGCTATTGTTTATATATTTCCTGCAATAAATATACTGTGGATTTGTTTATTCTGTTTGAGTTTGATTGTTGTTATCTCTACTAATATTATAAAGAAACTCTGGAACTATCTATTGCATCGATTTAAAACATATTTCACAAGTAGAAAGCTATATATTTTCTGTGTGATAAAGAATCACCAGTACAATAAGGGGCGGCTCGCTAAAAAACTCCGCTCTAATAAAACGCTGGTCTTGTGTTAGTCTCACTCAATTTTCTTTACTTTTTCTACTTTTAAAGTTGATTCTTTCTAATAAGGAAACAAACCGATTTACAATAACAATTTAATAACCATACAGAATAGAAGTACGACAGTTGAAATCTCGCTAAAAATATAACCAGTATCCGTAACCCACTTGTGGAATGGGCCCACCTTGTGGTGTAAAGTGGGTAGATATGTGTAGATCAAACTAGTGACACCAACTAAAAGTCCCTGCTTGGAGTCATTCTCTTGAGGATCTCCGGTGCCTGTACAGATCAGAGCACTGCCTTCACTCTCCTGCAAAAAAATATTAATATATATAAATTTGTTTATACCTATATTGTCATCTCATCTCAGCCTTCAGCTACACTTGAAGAGCTGGAGACCTACTCTGATTCAAGAGAGATTTGAAATTTCGATTAAAAAATCTCAATGGTTCTTATTCATTTCTAATTATAATAAAATACCTTCGTCTGAAGATAGATTGAGGTTTAAGCCTACTCAACGAAAAATTTAGTCTGATATAGTTTATCGTTCAAATTAAGTATAACCACAAATTGACAAAATGAAATATCGTTTGAACTTCGTTACCGAAAGATCGTTTCGGGGAAAGAGTTTCTTCCTTTACTAGAATAACTTTCCGATGCCGACAATAAAAAAGGGCAGACTCGGAAATATGTTTGTTTTCAGATAGTATCTTTTTTAGGGATCCGTAGTCCTGTCAAGGAAACCTTATAAAAAAATCGGTGGTCATCATTCGTATTTACAAAAATAATAATTTCGAATAGATTTTGAGTTCGAGACGCAGTTTGACTTTGATTTAGGTATTTTAGTGCAGATACATAGATTGATATTAATTAGAGATGGGCCGGCTATAGTATTTGCTGACTAACCGAAGCCGATTAATCGGTTTTCGAATTGCCTACTATTCTGCAATGCCGATCATTCTAATGCCTATCTTAAGAAAATGTTCGGAATATTTCGACATTACTCGGTTTGCTCACGCACGACACGAGTCTCCCAAATCAAGCCGAAATATTCACGTTCCAACATGACAATTTGCCTCTAAGGAAAAATTTGTATACCTATGAACTTCATTAAGACTCGCTAGCACTTACGATTTTACTAAATTAATACATACTTCCCATTGCTATTTAGTTATGTTCGATATTCATTGTGTTAAGTTATCTGAATCACTGACAGATTCCTAAGTTCCTAATTCTTATTATGTTACTTTTTTTAATATTTTAAGTCTAATAGGTAACCATAAATACATACTCTAGGTACTGTTCAATTATTCGCAACAAGCATAAGTTTTGAGTATTATTTCATTGTTATGTGCCGATTATAATCGGCACGTTTTGCCGAATAGTCGCCGATTAATCGCCGACTATAAACGATGCCGATTAGTCTTCTTTTCCGACTAGTCGGCGGCTAATCCGCCCATCTCTAATATAAATTGATGTTTCTAATTTCCGATATAGAAAATAAAGAATCCTGCTCAAATATATTGTGGTAACTACAACTACTACGGAACCCTACACTGTGCATGATACGACACGCAGTTGGCCGGTTTTTGTGTCATATAGTCATTGTAACATAATCTACTCCGCAGATTCGTTTAAACTTCGTGAAACAGACTATGTAATTTTAGTATTTAAAGTTATGGTAAACTTAAAAATATCAATATACCAATATCAATCAAAATAATTTTGAAACTTTTTATGAGAATATAGATCCTAAACCGGAATACACATAAAGGGCAGTCTATACGTGTGATAAATTTCAACGCAATCCGTTCAGTGATTTCAGCTGTGCATTGGTAGATCAGTCAATCAGTAACGGTTGCCTTTTATACATAATTATATAGAAGATGTCTTCTCACACATTTATTTTATAGCACTCTTGTTATATTCTCAATTGAAAGCCGCTAGATGCGGACTACTCATCTTAGGGGAAGCCTCAGCAGTTGGCGTCGTAAGGTTGGATGATGATGAATTTATGACACTTATTGCATGCGTAGAAACATTGTACTCACTACAGACTGCATCAGAAGCTTGCGGCTATCGTACTCAGTGCAGAAATACAGTCTGCTGTCTCTCAACAGCTTCGATTCACATTCGCTGCGTGGCAACATTTTGAAAGCCTCGGTGAATAAAAACTTATGCGACGACCAGCTCTGCGTAATAAAATAGAATGATTTTTATATGAGACTTTTTAGGGCATTTGGTTTTGTATTTATACCCCTATATTTAAATGAACAATACGTATTTTTCTAATTATAAAAGAAAAAATTCTGTAAAAATGCATTGTTTTTTTTCTCTGTTAAATGACTGTTATTTTCAGTATATTATTGTGAAAATAACAGTCCTGTAACAAAGAATAAAAACAAAATTTCCGACATTATTAAAAGTCTTTATTTACCCTGGCAGGCCGCACAGCAGTCACTAGACACACACCGTCGAAATTTTGATTCAACGAAGCATATGGTATTTTGTTCACAAATTGATTGAAATTCCAAGGCTTATCTATTTCCTGAAAATGTTAACTTTTTCATAATATCCGTATATAATAATACACTTTATTGGTGTGGTGGTCCGACAGCCGGCAGTCACAAGTGAAAATAGACAATCCGGCAGACATGCATTTTTTAACCAACGCATATTGGCTAAAGTAGAACTCTGAACAGCTCGAGATGATACGTTGACGATCCCTTTCCGAATGGATATGTCTACTAAGACCTTAAAGCAGCGAGAATGTAGGACACTTCCGTGGAATCTTGACTTTAATGTTATCGCGCTACTTTTCAATTATATAGAAATTTGAAAGACATTTACACTATCAACAAATATCATACAATAATATTTTTTACTTTAATCGGTATTTACAATTTCTCTTGTGTTTTATCTCATGCCCGATGATGGGAGGATAAGAAATCTAAAACGCGATCTGTACTTGCATATATAATGATCGTCTCCTAAGTTTTCTTTAATTAATTATTGTTCGAATCCATACAAAATATATGAGTAAATAAAATGGCCTCATTCTCACCACAACCGCTAGATTGTAAGCTGGAAACCTGAAGAACTTCTGCGTATACACCTTGCCTATGGTCCGCCACTGCTGGACGTCATCATCCTCATCGACAGAGTGCTGCACGTACGTCGTAAGAATACCACCCACCGCTTTCAATACCCGGCTTGTGTGTTTGAAGCTACTGGGACATTTGTAATTTTTTTTTTTTGCAAAATATGTTTTGCGCAAATCAGCTAGAGAAGTTTGAGCTTCCAGAAAAAAATTGCTCCGACTTCAAAATGATTGAAAATGAAAAAAATAGCTTTACCGACTGATATATTTGAAGTCGATACCAAGCCATGTGTTAAGCAGGGAGATAAAATATATCAGTCGATAAATCCTATTATTTAATTTATTTTTAATTTTCAGTTAGTCGGTTCTATTTTTATTACAAAAAATTAGCCATTTTTGTGTAAGACGGAATGCGCTACTGGTTGGAAATTTTACACGCATAGGTCGATAGGCAGATTTGCTTTCTATTCGATCTAGGTGGGTGAAACCGTAGGACACTACTAGTATATTATATACTTAAACCTTACCTGATAAATACGCATTTATATACCGAAAAACCCTATACAAATCGGATCAGTAGTTTAAAATAATCGCGGACAAACTTACTACATACACGTCAAACTGAGAACATCCTTTTTTTGAAGTCTAGTAAAAACCCCCTTTGCAGGTTCGTCGTCAGCATACCACCCAACCGCCCACCGCTTTTAACACCCGGCTTGTATGTTTGAAGCTACTGGGGCATTTGTTATAAGTTCTTTTTCACAAAATGTGTATTCCCAAAATTAGATATGTTTGAGCTTTCACAAAAGGGGTACTGCGCGTACGTCGTCAGCATATCATCCACCGCTTTCAACACCCAGTTTGTAAGTCTGAAGCTGCCGAGACCTTACAAATTATACTGATATTATTTATGCAAAAGTTCATATTTTGAATGTTTGTTGTTCTTTCAGGCTCAGCTGAACATATTATATACACTCGACCGCAAATAAACCGGGCCACTTGCAACCTCGGAACTCTGATTTATTTTTCTCAAAAAGTATAAACTTACAACTATCAAAGTTATTACATATTGATATTTTTAAGATTCTGAAACTAACCGCTTTCTGTTCGTGTAGAAACAATGTGCCGATGACAAAACTCGATCATCCTTGATAATGCTTCCACTACAGAAGGCACGATATTCAGATTTTAACTTATTGGTTAACTTTACCAAAAATACCTACAAGACGAGAAAAAAATTCAATTTGAATTTTAAATTTGAAAGAATCTGAACTGGAACTTGAATTGAGAATTTTCATGTTTACTGCACTTAAATCTGTAGGGATATAATTAGGACGTGAAAATACGTGATATGTAAAATATCGTTGTGATACATATGTGGAAAGAAGCTATGGATGGACGGACTATACTCATCATTTACAGCGTTTTCTCCTCCACTACTGAGTCCTTGCCTATGGAAGGAATTGGGCGAACACACTATTAATGACCCACTACGCAGGTAAGTGCGAATTAGTGTATATGCTAACGAATGCAGATGCAGCTGGGACCAACGCAATGGATAAACATGCTTTCCGAAGCACGAAAGCGCTCAAAACAGTAAATTTTGGGCACCTATACTATGACTGAAGAGCGCGATGGCGCAGGTAGATCTTGGAAGTCAAGCAATTTTCGAAATGGTCGCTCATTGAAAGGGTGACCAAAAATCTCGAGCCCCTTCGAGCTTCGAAAAGCACGTTAAGCCGATGGGCCCGGCTGCATCTGCAGTCATTAGCACCCACCAATCCGGACTGAGTCGGAGTGGTGGGTCATGGCCCAATCTCTGTATTCCATCTATAGGTCTTCTCTGTATTTCATCTATATAGGGAAGACCTGTGCCCCCACAGTGGGGGCATTAATAGGCTGATGATGATGATATTATGATTCACTGTGAAAGATTCGGGACGAGAGTTCGGCGGCGCTATAGCTGGCACATTCATAGTGCAATTGTAGAAATTTAGATTTTTTTTTTCTCATCTTTCCATAAATATGTATTAAAAGAGGTCATAGCGGGTTTTACGCACGAATTGGAGAGCCCGTCTGGAGAAGTAACCTCCACCATATAGAAGACCACAATAAAATAACACTACCTTTAGGTTGTATTATGTTTCTGTAAGAGTAGTAGTGATAGTATTGGTACCACCAAAATGCAGTTGACAAACAAGCGTATGGCCTGCCTGATGGTAAGGGGCCACCAGAGCATATAAACGCTTGCAATTCAAAAAAAAAAATCTCGTGCTGTAGCCTACCCTGACCCAATCCCCTATTCCGTGGAGCCCTGAACCTTACTCACCGACAGAAACACCAAATCACCAAAACGTAGTGTTATCTTTCTGCAGTCTGTATGTAGTAGTTACCTCCACAGGTTACTTGCCCAGATGGATAAACTTGCCTGCTATGCCCAACCTCTCGAATTATAAAATTATTAAAGGTGGAACTGTTGCATTGACTGATTTATAATTAAGATTATTTTACTCACATGGTGTTTTAACATTCCCAATTTAACTTCAGTCCCTCCATAGTAATCGAGCTTCAACCTTCCCATTGAAGTCTGCAATTTGTATTTTTTTTTTATATATAAGTTTAAGACTCCTCCGGTCGTCCTCGACTGATGAACGTGACTTGACTACACCACAAGTCACGAAGATAGCTGATGTAAGAATAAAATGTACCGCTATTCTCAACTCACTTGTCAGACCTGGACAGCTGGACTTACTCCCCCAACATGGCCGATCACAGGGTGGGAGATCAAAAATTTATTATCTTCACTTATTACTTCACGGCGAGTTCGAAGGCGCAAGTGGTAGCGTACGGCTACGATCGTTGAAGTTAAGCAACTTATGCAGTGGTCGGTCTTTGGATGGGTGACCAAAAATTTACTATCTCGAGCTCCTCCGTGCTTCGGAAGGCACGTTAAGTCGTTGGTCCCGGTTGCATTTGCAGTCGACAGCACCCACCAATCTGCACTGGGCCCGCGTGGTGGATCATGGCAATCTGCCTATTCCATCCATAGGGAAGGCCTGTGTCCCAGCAGTGGGGACATTAATATGATGATGATGACTTATTGCTTCGGAAAGCACGTTAAGCCGTGGTCCCCGCTGTATTTGCAATCGTTGGGTAATACTGGTCAATCCGCACTAGACCTGAATTATGGCATGGCCACATCTCTAACAGAGGGGGCAATAATAGGCTGATGAAGACTATAGATAAAGAAGGGGAATAGGTACCTTGTTTTGAGTCACATTACTAGCACTTAAACAACAAATAATGTTCAATATAACAACAGTGTACTGAAACAGTTTGAATTATTATGAAGTAATGATCAAATACTTATAAAAAACTAGAGAATTGCATGTGGTCTACGACCACCGAAAACTTCATTTTATTAATAATGCACAGTAATAATGTGTTAGGTTATTTTCATAGAGAAATTATTTTTATTTTTTTGATGCACAGAGAAAGTAATCACCCCGTTTTAATCACTGTTCGGAGGTCACTACCGTTTATTTTTTATTAATGCTGAGGTTTTCTTAGGCTTAGCAAGAAATTTATTAAAGCGCCTTTTTTATAGACTTCAGGTCCAAAACTATCAAACACCGATCATTTGTGTTCAAATCATAGTAAAATAGTATAAGTAGGTTTTAGAAAGATTTGGTATTAAAAACAGTAAACCTGTAGTCACCAATCATAAAAGACCATGAATTAATAGAAGATATAGAAATATGCGAAAAGTTTCCATATAGACAAGCAGTAGACGCATTAGCTTGCCTGATCCACTTCTGGATGTATGGAGAGCCCATATCTTGGCGAAGCCAACTGCAAACATTTGTCGCTATATCGAGTACTGAGGCAGCACTGATTGCCGCAAGCGAAGCTGCTCGTGAAATAATTTGGCTCAAAATATTCATAGAAAATATCGAAAAACCTACAGCACTACCGATTCTGTATGTCGTTAATGAATCAGCTATCAAATTGGCAGAGAATCCGCCAGATGAGTTCCACAACTAAACGAAATACCGTTTAGTTGTGGAACACATATTTGCGGAATAATTTGGCTGCGTCACTTTTTCATAAAGGAGGCAATAGCTGATGGTGTAATGACGTTAGCCAAGATTAGAACGGATAACCAACTTGCTGACATTTTTACTACCGCTGTAATAGCCTAAATTAATAAGGTTATGTCATGAGCTTAGGCTGCATAGCATGGCTTAACCACATATACCATGTTTAAGAGAAGATGTCTTAAGTGTACTCCTTTAATAGAGAAGACTCTATGATACTTTTTGGTTACTATGAAAACCACTTCTTGTTTACTGTCCCCACGACTACTACATTTATAAATAACTCTAAATTAATAGAATATATATTGAAGCCATAGATGAATGATTGGTCTCGCTTCACTAAAGTGAGACCAATCATTTATCTACTCGTATGTATTGAAGCATTTAATGTTGTGATTTCTCTTTTTATCTATATCTTACCAAAAGTTTATTAAAAGATTCATGCTCACATATGGAGCTCCCAAATCTCATACACGTTAAAGAATAATGAGTCATGCATGGTTGATTTTTTGCCTATCATCATGTCATCAAAATAATTAGATAGGTACAAATAAAAACACTTCGGTAGTTACATGATTTGACAGTGCCTTTATTACGTGTCAATAAAACTAAACGCATCCACTGTTTAAGATGGGATGATGATTAATTGCCTGATATCTGCCAAAGCACCACAGGCCAAGCCTCCGCGTCCAGCAGTGGTCAAGCGCCGTATCTGGCATTATGGGTCGGCAGATTGGGACGGTATGCGTGACTACTTTGCGTCCGTCCCCTGGAAGCAGCGCTGCTTCAGTGACAGGGACCTATCGGCCAGTGCCGTTGCCATTACTGAGGAGATTATAATGGGTATGGAATACTATATTCCTCATTCTGATCTCATCAGTAAGGGCACGCGTAACCTCTGGTTCAATCACGACTGTGCTGAAGCTGCTTCGCGTAAGCAAGCGGCATATCGTGCTTGGATCAGAGGGCGCGCTCTCAAGGATCCCGAGGTCGATTTACTCAAAGCAGCCTACAATTTTGCTTTCAAGGCCTGTAAGAAGGCTTACATTAGAGCGGATGCCCAGCGCGTTGCACGTGTTGGCCAGGAACTTATGACGCATCCTACGGGCTCCCGTAGCTACTGGCGTCTGGCCAAGGCCGTGCAAAAAAACTTCTGCGAGCCCTCGCTGCCAGCTCTGAGATGCCCAGACGGAACACTAGCCCATAAGCCGCAGGAGAAAGCCGATTTACTGGCAAAACTCTTTGCGGCTAACTCCCGAATCGATGATTGCAATGCACTGCCACCATCATTACCTCACTGTGGCACAACGATGCCTGATATTAAAATCAGGCAGCGCGAGGTTCGTGCCGAATTGCAATCACTCGACGTCCGGAAAGCTAGTGGACCTGATGGCATCCCAGCAGTAGTACTCAAAAAATGTGCAGCGGAGTTGTCTCCCGTGCTCACGCGCTTGTACCAATGCTCGTATTCTTTGGGGCGTGTGCCGGAGACTTGGAGAGATGCCAATGTGCAACCGGTGCCCAAAAAAGGGGATCGCTCAGACCCGGCAAACTACCGGCCAATAGCAGTCACCTCAGTTTTATGTAAAGTTTTAGAAAAGGTCCTTAATAACCATCTGACCCGCTACCTAGAGGATCACTCCTTGATTAATGATCGTCAATATGGTTTTAGACCGAAACGATCGACGGGTGATCTTCTAGCGTACTTAACTCATATCTGGGGTGAGGCTATCGACAAGCGTGGCGAGTCGTTGGCTATCAGCCTTGACATTGCCAAGGCGTTTGACAGGGTCTGGCACAAAAGCCTTCTCTCCAAGCTTCCGGCATACGGTCTGCCAGCCCAGTTCTGTTCTTGGGTAGCTGACTTCCTGCATGAGCGTAGAATTCGTGTCCTTACGGATGGTAGCAGTTCGCGGTTCATGTCAGTGAATGCCGGCGTTCCCCAGGGCTCCGTCCTATCCCCCACTCTCTTTCTGCTGCATATCAATGACTTAATTCCTCTTGGGAATATTCATTGCTATGCAGACGATAGTACAGTGCATGCGGGGTATCTCGGACAAGCAGCGGCTGGGCTGGCGGTAACCAAGGAGAAACGCGAGAATCTTGTCATTGAACTCAATCAGGCTTTGGACCACATTTCCGAATGGGGTACCAGGAACTTGGTTGAGTTCAATGCCAAAAAAACTCAGGCTTGCGCTTTCACGGCAAAAACATCGTCATTCCTTCCCCTTCCATCTCTTCAGGGCACAACACTACCGCTGCAGAGCAACATTTCCATGCTCGGTATGGAAGTTCGCTCAGACCTGAATCCAAAGAACTACATCGAAACCGTGATCAAAACAGCTTCACGCAAACTCGGAGTCCTGAACAAGGTGCGGCGTTTTTTCACGCCCGATCAACTGTGCCTGTTGTACAAAACGCAAGTGCGGTCCTGCGTGGAATATTGCTCGCACCTCTGGGATGGCTCCGCCAAGTACTTGCTCGATGCTTTGGATAGGTTACAGCGACGAGCGATCCGCATCATAGGCGATGAGGAGGTGACTAAACACCTTGAGCCTCTTCAATTACGCCGTGACGTGGCGTCACTAAGCGCGTTCTATCGTCTGTACCACGGCGAGTGTTCTGAGGAGTGGCGCGCTGGCCTACGTTGTCATCGTCTAACTGTGGCCACAATTCCAACGCGTACAAAGAAATTTGGTGACTCATTTCTTTGTCGCACTATCCGTAAATGGAATGCTCTGCCCGCTCACGTGTTCCCTCCCTCTTACAACCTGGGATCCTTTAAAAGAGGCGTGAAGAAGCAACATGCAGGCCGGCAGGGTGAGGATGGCTGGTGTGGCAGGTAAAACTGCTGTATCAGCTATCGTCACGTCTGGACTTCACCTTCACTTAACATCAGGTGGGGTGGACTCATTTGTCGGACCTATCTATAAAAAAAAAAAAAAAAAAAAAAAGATATCCATTGTGCCTTTTCTAATACAGGTTGTGAGGTTTAGTTTTATCACTACAGTCAGGCCATTTCAATAGGTAACATTTGACGTCTGTCAGTTTTATCTTCATAGTGAGATGATTTGCTTAAAAACATGGATTAAAGTGAATGAATATATACGGACTTCAAACATATGTGAATTTCAAAAATAAATAAAAGTAAATTTAAGGAGCAAAATAAGACATGCAGGTATATAATTTAATAAAAAAATGCATTTATTCAGTTCAACTATCAGAACTGTTGTTAGTATTGACATCTTCATCACTGCTGTCAGCATTAAGAGATATTCTGAATTCATTTTCAATAATATTGTCTATTCTCACATCTCGTTCAAAATCTTGTGCAATTATTTTTTTATTTTCTCTACGACTTTTCTCCAGTCTTCTGTAGTGATTTCTGCACACGCAGTTTGTAGCAGAGGCATCATTTTAGCAGTACTGAAGGGTAGTTCAGTATTGTTTCGGGCTGCATGACCCTTTATTTGTGCCCAAATAAGCTCGACGGCGGTATATTGGCAAAGGTAGGGAGGCAATCGAATAACTTCGTGTCCATGCTCTAGGGCTAGTTCATCGATTACATAGCGGAGCATGGAGGGCTTAGTTACTTTTACCAGATTTAACAACTTAACTTTTAATAAAGTTGGACTTGCATCCACACCATTTGTTACCAGTCACGAGACAATTTCTTGCTTTTTATTTGCTAGAGTTGGTGGTTTATCAACTTGTACAGAACGATACGGTGCATTGTCCGTCATAATTTTCGATGGGTTTTCTAAGCCGACTAGCAGCTTCTCAAACCACTTTAAAAACCTTAGAGTTCAATTTCTCATGTAGTTTTAGAGGCGAATGCGAGGAGGCAGTCTGTTATTAAATCTTGAGAAGCTGATCCCGCGTGACACATAATAAGTCGGGCTCCTTTTCCTGATGGAACTTTAGAGGTGGAGGCCGCTGTATCATCGGTCCATGTCCGCGAAACCGTATGGTTCGCATTCAACCATGTTTCGTCAATAAACACGACATTGTTCCAATCTGCAAATTTATTTACCTGACGTAAGAATGTTTCTCTGTGCAAAATAATATGGTAGCATTCTAGCAGGATTTTCCGCTTGTCAGATTTTTTAAATCTAAAGCCAATCGCAGCAGCCCCATTGATAAGTGGAAATACTTTTTATTAGAGCTGTATATTACCAATAAAAAAGGGTATACCAGAAAGCCTGCGACCAGTACCGTAAACGCTTTAAAAGAGAACAACAAAGACGTAAATCTATATTATATATCTAAATTATTGAAAAAGTTTGATCCATTCTTGTATATCTAATGGGTCCCAACTGTTAAAGTAACTTTGTTCCTTACTTAATAGAATCATAGACTACTGGACTTGTTTTTTTCCTTTCAGTTTTTATTTGATATTTTGATTTTTTGAATTAACCTTTTTTTAATCTTACAACAGTACGTTTCTTTACTCATTTGCTATAGCTATAAAACTTCATCATCATCAACCACTCGTCTACTTCTGGACATAGGTCTCCCCTAATGCACACCACTGCCCCCGATTTTCTGCCACTCTCATCCAGCCTACTACAGCCAGCCTACGAATGTCATCATCCCGTCTTGTCTCAGGGCGTCCTACGTTTCCACTACGTTTACCGAGGCGTGGTCTCCACTCAAGAACTTTCCGGCTCTAACGGCCGTCAGGTCTCCGGCTAATGTGACCAGCCCACTGCCACTTCAGTTTGCTAATTTGGTGGGATATGTCGGTGACTTTGGTTTTCTGTGGGATTACATCATTTCTGATGCGGTCCTTCAGGGATACTACGAGCATAGCCCTTTCCATAGCTCTCTGAGCGATTTTAAACTGGTGGACTCGTCCAGTCGTGAGTGTCCACGCCTCGGCGCCGTTTGTCATAATTGGGAAGACGCACTGGTCGAAGACTTTTGACTTGAGACATTGAGGGATGGGTGACGAGAACGAGAACTATAATACTTAATCACAATGAAATAGTTATTTATAATATTAGTGCGGTAAGTTGGTTATTACAAACAAATAGACGAAAGTTAACCCGAAAGGAAGTCGAGGGCTTATCATAGTCACGAATTTGTAAGTACCAATTCCGCACGAATGTCATTTAACGTTTTTCAATACATTTTCAAGAAAACAGTATACCTAATTTAAGTAATGAATCAATCTTTTTCTTATTAGATTACACGTGCACGCCTCAAAATTAGAATTACATCTTTCGTCTCTGAACTATTTGTGAGTTGCAGTAATGAAAATACGTTCGTCTTGTACAACGGTTTATTCAAGAAGGAAGGATGACACCATACAAAATTATAACAAAAACAGTTGTGGATACCTTCAATATAAAATATTAGCTTTGTTGACAAAACACATTCTTATTACTCAGTATTAAGGTTGAAAGTAATTTATAACATATATAAGACATTCATTACAGTCTCTTTTTCTTTTTAGTGAGTCAAAGTTATACATTCAAACCGCTTCCAAGGAGATTTGACCTATATTTAAAAAAGAAAACCGTATAGAATACAGCACGGCGTCATGTATGAAAGCGTGCGGGTTCGAAAGTTCAGAATTACGGGCTTTACCCGTAATTCTGAACTTTCGAACAATGTATACAACCTCCGAAAATGCATTTTTGAACAAATGTCTTAAAAACGTAATTTATGAAAATTCAGATACGATGATTTCAATGAAGCATTATTACTTGACTTTTGCATAATTATTTACAATATTTATTGTAATAAAATTCATATTTCATAGGCCTAAAATTTACCTGAAGTCCTATCTTAAGAAAGTTTTATTATCACATTCTTGTACTTAAAAATAACTGGCTTTGTATATTACAAAAATATTATACCCAATGCCACTGTTTCTACAAAATTATTTCGTTCTAATAAATCTTACAAAACTACCTTATAAAATACTGCATAACTTTTCACATAAAAAAAAAACGCGTGCATGAAAATCTACACCTGCTGTCGTAAAATTAATAAATACAAACCTTGTCGCACGCTAACGCATAAAAATATAATGAAGTTATATTGTCACTAAATATTCACACTATAGTGTTAACTTGACACCTTAATTTTATTAATACTCAGCGCCCAGCATCGCTGTTTTATCTCAATCCTCCGTCTTGCTGTACAATATATCTGTATGCTCCATATCCATATCCGTGATGTCTTTATCATTCCATCCCCACAGATCCTTGCCATCCCCGGTTCTCATCGCCCTGGCTCTCACTATTTCGTTCGACACCGTTTTGAGATCGTAAGCCCAGCCAAGCTTCGTAAAGAAGTTGATAAACCAAGTGGTTACATTCAACTTGTTGTTGCCGAGTTCAGCCGTTTTGTAATCCCATGGGAAAACGTGGTGGTAGTTGTGGAATCCTTCACCCAATGTCACCAGAGACACGTACACGTTTTGAGCTGGGTAGATACTTTTGTCGTAAGGCCGATAGCCCCATATGTGTGCGGCGCTATTCACGAGGAATGTGACGTTCAGGTTTATGGTGTATCTCAACAAGTTGGCATGCCATGAGTAGTTCAAAGTCTCTCCCCATACATACATGGGTATTGCTGTTGGCAGAATGAAACAACACAACGCGAACACTGGGATTGCGTACCTGTAACAAACATTTCGTATAAAATAAGCCGTAGAGCCATCTGTAATGTAATTTAAAAAGATTTATTATAATAACTAAAATACGCAAATATTTGATCGGCAGCAGGGGGACCAATTAGTTATCTATGCGTTTGACCTTCTTTCGCAATTAAAGTATGTATTTATAAATTTAAAAGTAGCGTCATTAATATTCATTTAATCAAGGTGATTTGTGGATGCCAAAATTATAATTTTGCTGTAGTGACCTATGAACACCCACGTGATATCACTCAGGTGATCATAGTAGAATAGACCTAGTATAAGTTCTTAATAATGTAATTTAAAAATAATAAAAACCGAACTTCGGGAAACAAAACTTCCTCAAAATATACCTAGTCTCAAATAATTAATAAGAAGGTTACTTAAGTAAGGTTAGTTTAAAAACTCAAAAAATCCGTTGCCTCTGTGAGAGAGACGGCATCAAATAAATTGTCACAAAGAATCACTTATCTTCGGTCGAGTTATTGTAAACTTCATTAACGTTTTTAAGTGCAGTTTATTTTATTCCTCTATCCGCACTACTTACTTCTTCTGAAACTGCAATACTGGATTGTTGAACAAGTCGGAAGCGTCTATGGTCTTGCCCCTTTTCAACACTTCCTTATTTTTCTTGGTCAGCAGCCATCCAACGTGAGAGTAAAAGAACCCTCTTGAGGCGTTGTACGGATCCGCATCGGTGTCACAGTACTTATGGTGGAGTCTATGGTCTCTAGCCCAGTGGATTATGGAGTTCTGGAAGGCCATAGAGTTAAACAGCATAAGGATGATCTCCAGTGGCCTTTTCGCCTTGTAGCTCTTGTGGGACCATAGTCTGTGGGCGCCGGCAGTGACTCCCAGTTCTGCCGCCAAAAATACGACAAAACCTGTGGATATTTTTTTTTTAATTTAATTTCTATTACGGAAACCACGCTAATCTTACAAGTATACTGATCTACGGTAATACGCTGAGAATCGTTATATATCTTATGATTTGTGCTCATATTTTTTAACGAGAATTAAGTAACAGATTGTGATAAAATACTAATATCTATCTAATAGTTATATTCATTGCTTATGTTTTCACGCACATATGTATAAAACAATGTTTCAACGGGTTTCAAAAGCGTTTTTAATTCTTCTATATATCAACCTCCTTTCGGATCCTCCACAAGCTCCATTACTCCATGCTCTTGAGAACAGAGCCTGTAAAGGATTGGAAACGTAGAGATATTGATGAAAATATTAAAAAATGTGTTAATAACCTAAAAGTATTAAAAAACTTATATTAGGCTCGCAATATTGGTGCTCCATACAAACTTTGAACCCCCGTTTTACTTCTTTAGGGGGTTAGTTTTGGAAAATCCCTTCTTATCGCATGTCTACATCATAATAGCTATATGTGTGCCAAATTTAAGCACAATCCGTTCAGTGGTTTGAGCTGTGCGTTGGTAGTTGAGTCAGTCAGTAACGGTTGCCTTTTATATACAGGTGATAAGAAATAATATGATTACACGCACATTGTAGAAATTTCAACAGTCTATCTAATAAGTATGTTTCCATTCAGCACAGCACACTGAAAAACGAACTTACTCCGAAGGCTTTCTGTAAAGGGGCTCCGTTGCCACTGACTAAATAAGTGATAAAAACTAACTATTTAATATTGTTTTCAATTTCTGTATAATTCGTTTTGATTCTTTGGTAAATATGTGCTTTCAACTTTCGGAACTCCAAAAGTGTACATCAATGACGGAAAAACTGAATGTACAATATATATCACTTTTTGGAAATTATAACTATAGGACAGCGTTGTTTATTTATAACGTAAAGACTTAAATATGTCAGAGATATTATTAAAATTCAATTAGCTTTATTTAAAAAAAAATTACTCAGTATTATTAAATTACTAGAAAAGGGAACATCAATTTATTCCAGTAATCTGAATGATTACACAGATTACCAGTCCAGTTCAAGTCCAGTCAACTTAATGTTCCAGTAATCTAGTAGTCAGTCAGTGTAGATACAATTTGTATAAGTTCTTCAATAATAAATTTCGAAAATAAGAAAATCCGAACTTCTAAAAACAAAACTTTCTTAAAATATAGTTTCAAATAATAAGTATGAACGTTCCTCTACTAAGGTATTCATTTCTAATTAATTTATTTTTATTTAAACAATAGCAGGCAACATTTTTTTAATTCCTCTGTGTTAAAGTTTCATAAGATTAAATTAAAATTATTACTTACCGAAAATAATGGTTTCCCATTTTACTGATGTAAAACACAGGTAAATTCCATAGGGCGCCGCCAGATGCCAATACAGGAAATACGTTAAATTAACGTACAATATCTTATGCCGTATTTGTGTAAGTTTCGGTGGTGTAAGATTCTCCGGTTGCACCTCCACTCCTAAGCCTTCATCATTTTGAATTGAATTCGGGGCCATTTTGGCGTAATGATCCGAAGATAAAAAAATGTACTTTATTTTTACACACAGTGAAGAGACTAATCAAAGAAACGAACACCTCGTATAACAAAATAAAACCATAAAGTATTTTTAATGTCCACCCATAAATGTTTTATCTAGAGTCATAAGTATACAGCAAACCTTTCCTTTAGCGAAAATAATTTTCGAACTTAAAATGAATACTAGGCAGTAATGTTTTGACAGAACCTCTTTAAGAGCGGTTAAAACACGACTGGATAGAAAAAATAATTACTAGATGCGGCAACTTATTTATAAGATGTATAATAAGATTTCAGGGTCTATGAGGCGTGTTGTGCCTTTGACAGTTTTGGGGATGAACTGAAGCAGTAAGCGAATGTGACATGTGTTTTTAAGATATCTATAGATATAAGCTCGTCTTATCTTTCAGCGTATCTACGGAAACTAGTTTCAATGTCTTTGACACTGAGATCAATCAAAGTGTATATCAAGTACCATGAATGTTAACCTTGTAACAACAAACAATTAACGGGTGTAGCGTAAGGCTCGGAAGACTTTTTTTATGATAATATGCATTATTCGAGCAGGTAACTAATTATTTATAGTACAAGATCCGAAGAGAGACCTTCCTTCACCCATCTTAATAGCTTACCAGACGAAAAGAAGGGTAGGGTCACCCTTTTTTTATTGCTGGGAAAATGCGTGACGCATACCCCGCCCCTGGGTGAGACACTAGCTTATGTGGGACTCTTCCTCCTCCCAAATCCCACCTATTCACTCAACCAGGACTGGCTCAGTAGCTGCCCAGGATGAGAGGGGAGAGGGGTCGACTTCCTCGCCTGCCGGGGCGGGTTTCTTGGGAACCGGAGACTCTCCACATTACCCCCGGCAGGGGTTCCTCCTCATCCTTGCTGTCAGGGGGATGTCTGGAAGCACCAAGGCATCCCCCCACGATGGTTAAGACTGTGTGACAATGCGGATAGCAGACCACCCTGTCTGCCATCCGCTAGTCCCACATCTTAGGATCTCAGACTATCGCTAAGTGATTTCACTGCACATAACGTGCAAGTCAATATTACAAAAAAAACAGATATTCATAATTCCAAAATCCTTCTCAACAAGGCCAACAAATATTAGATACTGAAGTATATTTTTCAAGTTTACTAGCTGACCCAGCGAACTTCGTACCGTCATATAAATAGGAGCTGGTGGCAAGGGCGTCGGTAAGGGGGGGGGGGGGGGGGCAGGTGAGGCAGTTGTAGTTGTAGTAGAGAAAAATATATGTAAGGGGTGTGTAAGTAGTGTTATATAAATTTCCTTAGACGGGGAAATCCACTTTGCCCTACCTCTCTTTTCTTTTTTGGTAATAGGATGTTGTACTTCTAATAAGTGCCCAACAAATACAATAAGGTAAAATGCTTAAAGCTCCAATGTCTATAATGGTGGCATAATGGAGTCAGGATTAGGCTCAGTCAGGTAGGAGTCAGAGTTCGATGACAGCTAAATTTTCTATATAAATTAATTTTAAAAAATATGTAACAATATAATTATTAATAACGTATTAATATATTCTTATTTTTTTTATATAATATTAATAAATTCTTACATATTTAGTAATGAATTAATTAATTCTTATATCATTGCTATATATTATTTCTATAATTTCCGCTATCTTCAGGTCTGGAATTCAGCGTCACTTAGCATCAGGTGGGGTGGAGTCATTTGTCGGACCTAACGGTAAAAAAAAATCGGAGTAAGTAGTTCAATTACGCTCACCGTGACACGAGAATTTTGGTTGGTAGTCCTCCCCAAAGCTGGAAATTAAACATACCAGAAAATACCTGCCGATTTATTCTGGTTTAATTTTCTTTTTCAATATATTGCTATATTGTGTTAAGTAGGGGCCATGATTTATACTTCACCGCAACGCAAACTTACTGTTAAAAATGGCCTTTTCACGAACGATTTCGTATACCACGACTTGTGTGTTTCCAGTAAAGTTTCAAGTTTATTTTCAGTGGATTATTTTATCATCGATATTCATTTGTTATTAATGTAAATGGAAAGTGATGCTTACAAAAACACCACTCTGCTTTCCGAGTTTTCCTTAACTCTTTCCAATTAACCAAATTTATACCAGTTAGGTAATTAGTAAACGTAAACAGTTTACTAGGCGGAAGGAATCTTCGGGAAATCTAGCTCTTTTTTTTCCTTTCCCGTCTACATAACCGTCGATTACCTAACTGGAAATCAAGTTTCACGAAGATAACCTATTACCTATGTATCTGGAGGTGGTGATACTTTGTTCCAGGTAGATAACCAATAGTTATGTAAACTCTTTTTTAATCTAAGTGTGAACCAGATCTGGTGGGTTTTCCAAAAATTTATTTTAATACAAACCTTCTCCTCACTTCTAACAATAACAGGCAAATCAGCCAAGCCGCGTCAGTTTTTTTTTTTGAGTGTGTATGCTGTTGGTCGCAGATGAACTTTACAGCGTCACCGGATTTGGAGACGGCGAGAGCCTAACGGGACCTCAAGCCGAAAATTGGCGAGTGCTTCTAGAGGTATTCCAGGCGGATGGCATCTCCCCACGCGGGGGGTCTCCTCTCCGCCTGGAGCCTGTAGATCACTCGAGCTTGAGAGGGTCGGCCCAACAAGAAGGCGTCTCTGAGACTCGGACTTCAGCTCTAGTTAGCCGTTGTCGCCGGGGGCGGGGAAAAACGCCCAGGTACCTACCTGTACCTGTACCTGGTTTAGCGTGTCGTGTGTAGATCGGGTCCTCGCACTCTTATCCTACGCATGCGGTGTTTGCCTAATGCTAAGTTAGTGTGCGAGTTTGCTAGCTGTGTAGTGTTGGTGTTTGTGGCCTGTGTTTTAAGAATCGGAGGCGCCGTGTCGGTCCGCAGATAGAACGAGTAGGGAGGTCGCTCTAGACGTTATGTGACTAACCAACCATCAATTGGACGGCGAGGCCGTTCATTAAAATACTAAAGAGATAGCGGATTTTCCGCACGCGTTAGATCGCCCGTCTGGGGTAATAAACACCACCTTACAGATGACCACGGTAAAATAACACTTCCTTCTAGTGGTGTTGTGTTTCTGTTGTTGAGTAAGGTTCCAGGTAACCACTGGGTCGAAATTGGGTTAGGGTAGGCAACGGTGCGAGTGACATTTTTGGTATCACAAGCTATGATATGGTACATGGTATGGTCACAATGCATACAAGAGCAGTATTTTAACTTCATACTAGCGCCCGAATCGACGCACATCCATCATCCATCAGCCTTTCTCCGTCCACTGCTGGACATAGGCCACCCCCATAGAACGCCACAATGCGCGGTCCTGCGCTATCCGCATCCAGCGGCTCCCAGCACATTTGACGATGTCGTCAGTCCACTTTGGGGGCCGCCCCACGCTGCGTCGTCCGGTACGTGGTCGCCACTCGAGGACCTTTCTTACCCAACGGTTGTCAGATCCTCGAGCCAGTGGCCTGCCCATTGCCACTTCAGCGTGCTAACTCTTCGGGCTATCTCGTACACACCGGTCCTTCTACGGATCTCCGTATTTCGGATCTTATCTCGTAGGGAAACACCGAGCATAGCCCTCGGTGTTTCCCTGGTGGTAGCGCTAACCAATCTTGGCAAGATAAATCTACACAGTGCCAGATCGCGCGCCTACGAGTCTGGTCGATGGCCGAGGAAGGTTAGCTGCGCCGCGCCGCCCGCTCCGTTTGCCTCCGTTTCGATTCCGTAACGTGGTAAGAGTAACTATACACATACAATAAAAGTCGACACTAATCTATTTTATATTTTGTAGGGACCAACCCTAGCGCTCCGCTCAGTCGTAGGTATCTATTTCAAGAAAATGGCTGAGTTACGCTACTGCTCTTGTATGTATTGTGGTATAGTATAGATGGTATGGTACTTAAAAAATAGAGCGCCTGCGTCGACATAATACACGTCTAGCGTCTTGGGACAGTCACAGAACACTATACTCATCGTTGGAAACATATCTGCAGCCGCGGCGGCGGAGCTGTTATAGATGCTGCTGGAACAATATTGAGGCCCCAGCACGAATTTTTGTAGCTCCGTAATCCTATCGTTGTTACAAAATTTTGTAAGGAAAAAGCTAGCTTGTTCTTACGTCAGATAGGGACTGCTAAGTTTTCATAGAAAATTTGACGATGCGATACGATTACCAACCGTAAAGTGTAATTTCATTGTTATCTTCTACAACATGAAGTTTTCTTCCCCAGTCGGGCGCTCTCTATTTTTATTCTATATTCGCTCTACCTCTCTCCTAACAAAACATCTAATATATAAAATTCTCGTGTTCGGCTTGACTGATTTTCGTGAAATTCTTTATTCATATTCAGTAGTTCTGAGAATCGGACAACATCTATTTTTCATCCCCCTAAATGGTAAGGGTGGTCCAACCTTAAATATGTTTTTGTTCTTTTCGACATTTTTTTTTTATTTTTTTATGATACTAAAATACATACAACCCTAAATTTTCACCCTTCTACCATCAACCCCTATTTTTTTATGGCGGGTCGAAATTCGTTGGGACAGCTAGTAATCTACAAGTATATCCATTCTAAAGATCAAAATAATAACTTGCCTTTCTATATAGTATAAAGTTACCCTAAACGTTAGTACTTACTGTACCCTTAGCACAGACCAAAATCGAATTCGAATAGTTGAATTTGATCTCGATACGCGTCAGATGTTAAAAAGTTTTGTATGGAAGATTTTTAACTCTAGTTGCGTTTGTTTGTTGCGCTGTTCGAATTTTCATAGAAAACTTCTTAGCAGTTTAAGCGTATCGAGATCGAATTCAACTATTCGAATTCGATACTAGTTCGTGCTAAGGGTAACTAGGTATTTAAAACTACGGAAAAGTTAGCATCTGCCACATACTAAGCTGTTCTCGTAACCTCGGAGTTCAGCATGTACCCTTTTTGTAAGAACATTAATGTACGTAATATTCACGATTAAATGACATTCATTCACTAATTTATCACCAAACTTATTCGTAATTCCTTCAAACTCGAAACTTAAGGAAGTGGACAGACAAGCAGTCACTGTGAAAAAACAGCCAAGTGCGAGACTCAGGTTCCGCACCGATATCTATACAACATTAGACACTATATTAAAATATGACGCAAAAAAACACGTCTGTTGTATAGGAGCCCCCTTTAATATAAATTTTATTTTGATTAATATACTTCTTTTAGGTTTTCCTGTATTATACAAGCTAAGAAATAGATTAAAAAAAACATATTTTAGACGCAATAGTTTCGGAGATAAGTAGAAGGAGGGGTAAATATTCATCTGTTTTTTTATCAATTTTCAAAACTAGTTTTTTATTTGAAAAAAAAATGTTTGAAACCTTTTAATTGAGCCCTATCATTTGATTCATAATACGGTACAGTTATTTCTTATTTTCTAATTCACCATCCTAAAGTACTACCCATATTCGGAATTTATTTATTTACTCCAAACGACTTATTCTACAAAGGACATGGCTAAGAAACAGCCCTTAACGTGTTTAATTATTTCGCACCAACCCTTAACATTATAATACAATTTTATTAATTATCACGTCTTTATTATTCTCATACAACTTTCATAAAATAATCAAATAATTAAAAGTATGAAAATTGACTTCATGTCTGTTTCAAAAGGAAAATGTTCCGTTTTACGAAAATAAATGGACAATAAATTTTACACAAAAAATATTTGTGTAAGTATATCGAAATAAACAATATTAATTCCAAACTCCTTAAAACTATGACATATTTAGCCCTAATTTTTATTCTAACAAATCACTGAAGGCCTAAAATAGTAGATTTTATTATTCTGATCACGCTTGAGACAAGGCTGTATGATGCCTAATCCTTTGATTTTTTCAAATGAACAAAATAAAACTTCACATACTGTTAGGCCGACAAAAAAATATTTGTATTTATTTTTTTGTGAACTGTTAATCAGAGAAATGGGAGGAAGGATCCTAAGAAAATGCGCAATTGATGGCTCTGTAAATAATTGGCAACATCTTTTATCAAATGTAGCAAGGTTATGACATAGTAGAAGTTCTCATAATTTTCAAGATTGTGACTTTATCAAAAGTTCCTGCGCCTTTTTTCATAGATATTATAAACATGCAGCCATTCAGCATATAAAAATACAAATATTACTAAGTACAATATTTTACATTGCTAGGACAGTCGCTCATACAAAATTTTACCATGTCCTTGCAACTTGACCGGTCGACAAGATTCCGAGCAAATCGACTGTGACAGACAGACAACCGAGTGATCCTATAAGGGTTCCGATTTGTCCGATTGTGGTACGGAGCCCTAAAAATACTGTTATATTCTCCGATGATTCAATCAATCAGCGTTTCGCACCACTGGTGTGCGTTGTATACAGAGAACACAGAAAGGGGTACAGGTGGAGTGGTCGCTCAGTGGATACAAACCTGCCAGCTTGAGTTGCATTCGGTCCGCTGTTCGGTACGCACGCGGACTGCGTTCCGTGGTCATGACACACCAAACGATGTACGCGCTCGTCGTTATAACATGTGAGTGAAAAACAATAATTTATACTTAACGCAGTTTACTTAATAAGAGAAATAGCACGAAAATCCATGAGGTTTAGTTGTTTTCAAAAGTTTGGTGTGGGCGTTGGCTGGTTCCGCTTTGCCCCGCGCGTTGTCCTAGAAACGCAAATTGTTCTTTTTTTTTTCAAAATAAATACAATAACTCATTTTACTGGCCATCATAGACTATGACAGCAAGAGTCGCTCGCGCATCACCTAATCAGGCGCTGAAAACAAGTGACAACCTCTTTCTTCGACCAAACGCTGTAACTTTTTATATCGACCTTGTCAATCTCATACCGCGACTGGCTTAGGACAACAATGACGTTATCGTTCGAAAGAATGTTAAGAATGACACTTGTCTTTGGTCCCTGATTCCATTTTTTTGCACTGCAACACTCTCAACGCTCAACCTAATTAATTGAAAGAAGAAGCACTTTTATAATTTTAGCTGTAATATCTTTGGATACTCTACGCTGGTGACGCAGATGTCAATGGCCTGTGGTAGCCACTTGCTATCAGGCAGGGCTTTTGTTGTTGTGGGTAACAAAAACGGAATTATGCTTTAATAAGCATAATGGGTTAAAAACGGGCATAATTATAACATAACGGCATTAAAAACGGTTAAGCATAATGGGTTAAAACATTGGGTAGCTAATGCTACCCAATGTAGCTAATGCTACCCAATGTTTTTAACCCATTTGTTTAAAAAAGTCTAATGAAAGATACTTTCACATTCGTATGGATTCGCCTCTCCTATGCTATCATTGAGCTTTTAATATCCATTTCAATCTGAAGAAAATGTTAGTAGAAAAAATTGCACGCAGACTAGTTAACAGACGGGACCGTATGCTACCATCTTCATTCAAATATATCCATTTCACTGTTTATACGTAAACAACTCTGACTTTACAGTGCAAGAATTATACATCACAAACTGTAGAGGCCACTGTGATGGGTACAAGTAAGCATTGACGGCACACTTATTGCATAGTAATAAGAGCGAAATTCGTAGTTCAAGTGAATCCAATTTTGTGACTACCACATTAGTAGGAAGTTTCTATAATTCATTCATGGATATAAATATAAAAAATATAAGGCCTACATTTTCTATCCTAATAGGATAGCATCAGACAAACAAAACACAGTGAAAATTGCTCATCGAATTAAAATGTTTTAGGAACATACTAATTAAAATTAATTACATAGGTCTGTACTAGAAATACTTACACTATTCCGAAACACTAACACTAATGTTATCTACTTATCTAACTATCTAATATGAATAAATTAATCATTAATAAATGCCTTCAATTTGGTAATACAAAATTAATCACTTCGAGCCGGTTTAATTAAACCTGATAGTGCTCATTCGTATGGAATTAAGCCTAACATGAGACACAGAGTGGGCATAGAGCACGACTGATCAAGATATACCGGAATACCTCAAAGTGCATAAATTAAGAGAGGCAAGTAATAGCGGCTTTTTCTCTTGAATTGGTGCGCCCTTCTGGGGTAGTGACCTCCACCTACAGAAGACCACGGTAAAATAACACTAACTTTTGGTGGCGTTGTGTTTCTGTCGGTGAGTAAGACTCCACGGGGTAGAGGATTGTGTTGGGAAGGCAACGGCGCGGCGCGAGTGATTTTTGTGTTTCGCAAGAGTCTAAAGGCTATGGTTGCCGCCAAGCCTAGACCATGCTATACTATATAGCTCAAAGCAGGATATCACGCACCATACGTGTATAAAGAACCGGGGCCTATTTTAATATCTGACGCACCGGGCCACTTAGAAAGATGAATCTCACGCTGCCTCGCACTACGCTGCGTAGCGCGGGTGTGCGTATTATAACTTTCCAACCCTTCGATCAACATGAATTGTTGATTTGTTTCGAGTATTCGATCCAAAATGTTCCGAATGCGAATACATATTTTGCTGACAAATGATAGCTATAAAAAACACAATTCCTGTAGATTATTTTAATACCTTCTGAGACCCAATCACGAACTTTGTAGCTCCGTAATCGTATCGCATCGTCAAAGTTTCTATGAAAACTAAGTAGCGCCCCTACCGGGCGTAAAAACAAACTAACTCTTTTATTATCTATTTTGTGACGGGTATTGTTAATTTTTTACCGATCAGTCACCGATGACACTAATCGTAACGCATAACGCAACTCAATCGCCAGTTTACCCCCCAGGACAAGCGTGACTAAAAAGTTTCACTTCAAAAATAGACTATGATGATACGATTACGGATCTCCGAAAGTTCTTGCTTAGGAGCTTTGGCCTCTGCTATAATCTTCGCAGCATCTTTGGTTCTCTCCTTGAAAAGACATCAACGAATCGCTAATAGGGTATTTGACAAGTTTTAGAAAACGATCTCACGTTATTGACTAATGTTTATGGAGGATATTCATCATTCTGTTGTGTATTTCAGTAAAAATAACCAAATCAAAAACTCCATTTCAAGTTGCCGCGGAAACGTTTCTGTGGACAATATGGCGTCTTACTAGTATGTGACGTCACACGACTGTTATTAAAACGATACAATGTAATGTCACTTTAACCGGAAGTTTACTTGCATGTGACGGCATTTTAGGCTCCGCCAATTCCAAGCGTTTTGGGTCAAGTGACAATAGATAAGAAAACTATTATCTTTTTCGTTAGTTTTTAGTAAAATTATCAATATTTTTTTTGTAAAAATAGTAAAAACCCCTGCCAATATTCATTCTAAACACCGATACTAACAATTGGCACTTTATTTTTAACACTGTCAAATTCGCTATTGTAATAATTAATCATCCAATTTATTAATCATCCAATTAATTATTACAATTGATAAGTCGACATATTTGTACTCATTTTTTTTCCACAAACCTTTCGGTTTGAGATAGCTGTCTTAAAAAGAACCTACAAAAAGCACTAATCATCTCACACATACGTTTATCACCTTTGCAGACTACAAGTTTAATACTAAAGTCAATACTGAAAGTTGCTTCATTCCAACCGCCCTCTACTTTGGTTATCCCGCGTTGATGTAAAAAAGTATTTTAAGGTTTTGGGAACCTTTTTAACAGACGTAGCTAATAAGCCAGCAGTGTTATCCTTAATTTCAAATCACACTGGCGGTTTCCGCAGTAGAAAGTGAGTTCTTACAAAAAAGCACTGCTGGGATACCTTTGAAAATCGGAAATTGAAAAAAGTTAAAAAATTTGGAATAGGACGTATATGGGATACGTCCTATTCCAATTTTTTATAACTTTTTTCAATTTCCCTTTTCCAAATGGAAGAGAACACTTTAAAAAAAGAGGACTTAGTTAAATTTGAGGATTTGAGGATGGGTAGGGTGGGAGGGTGACCTTTCAAGGGGTAGAAGTGGTTTATCGTGATTTTCGTAAAGCTACAACTCCTATCAAAAACATTCAACCCCTTATTAATAAACAAGGAATAAGTAGAGGCTAGTTACCCTGTGTTTTGTTCATGTCTCTCAAATGCCATTTGTCATTCAATAGACAGAGACAAAACATGAAGTAACTAATCCAAGCGTAATTTTCGTTTATTAATAAGGAGGTCCATGACAAAATTGTAGGCAATCAAGATCTACAACTTTTGTATTTTTTTTTCACATAACCTAAAAATATTTGAAAAAATCAAAATAACCAACTTTTTAGTTTTTATTATTATATTTTTTTATTTCAAGTTTTTTTTTCACGAAATTTTAGGGAAAACTTTCCTCTTTATACCCCAAACACGCTCTAACTTTTTTGATAAATAGTATGAATTTTTACTCCTTATTTTGATATTATATTGAAAAGTAACCTCATTTCAATCGAAAAATCTCCTGTCATGAAAGTTGGTGCGCTTTTTGTTCTTCACTACCTCTTCTTTCTGGTGGCATACAAAAACAAAAATTACTATGACAATTTTGCTCAAAAAATGAAAAAGCATCGTCACGATTCTCGACCTTTTATAGGAGTTTATCGCAAATTTCGGGAAAACAACAACTCCTATCGAAAACAACTCCAATGGCAAAAGTGTAGGGAACTAAAACATTTTCAAATTTTGTATTACACTTTTTGGTAAGGTTTAATAAAAAAAAATTTTTTTGAATATATTGATTTAACTCAAATTTTTTTAGATTATGTGAAAAAGACCTCAAATCGCCCGTAATTTATATTTCCTCTTTTTTAGAGTTCCGTAGTCCTGACAACACTTGACCATGATATTAAGTGGTGGTGAAGTCCAGACGCGAAGATAGGTATGAACTGGCACACCTACCATCCTTACCTTGCCAGCCTGCAGAAATACTTCTTCACGCTTCTTTTAAAGGTCCCCAAATTGTAAGAACGAGGGAACATGTGCGCGGACAAAAAATTCCACTTGCAAATATTACAAAGAAATTATTCATATTTCTTTGGTCGTGTAGGAATCGTTTAATTTAACCTAACCGGTTTCCTGTTATCTTTCTAAGATATCAAAACAACCTATTGTTTCAAAAGTGTCAAACCATACGGCGCCATTCTAGTTCAGTCCTCGTAGCATGAACACCACATTTTATTTACATTTACATTATATCACACTTTTTACCACGTCTAACTGTCGAATTCTATAGTAATTTGACAATTAAGCGTGATAAAAACGACCTATATAACATATATCGCGCTGCTCATGGTGGGATGACAGAGGCGCTAAGCATTATCTACACCTTTAACAAAAACTAAAAACTAACTTGGTTGTTGTGGTAAATTTATATCTTGCGTCATACTGAGGAGGTAAAATGATTGTTAGCGTAGGTTTGTATTATAATTGATACATACCTTTTTTGTTTCAAGCGCCTTACCATGCCTAGAAGCTTGCCTTCCGTGACTAGATATCAGTATTCTTATGAATCTACATTTTGTAGTTTTTTTTTGTATCTCATAAACCTTGAAATTTTCACAGATGTTTTGTTTTTCTATTTAGTTGCGTAATTATTTTAA